GGGGGGGGGGGGTGGTTATCGTGGTGGTGGTGGTGGTGGTGGTGGTGGTGGCCTCTGGCCGGCCGTTTCTTTCCTTCCATTGCGACCTGTCGTGTCGGGAGGGTCGGGAGGGGGGGGGGGGGCAGAAAAGGGTCAAGAAGGACTCAGGAGAGAGAACATGGTTCGAAGGGGGGAGAGGAGGGGGGGGGAAGGGGGGACTTACCTACTACATATGGGCCAAGTGGGGTTGTAGGAGCGTCAGAACCGCACCATGTACGTGCTGGGCAAGGAGGCCATGACCCGGATGGCCACGTCGTCAATCCTGCTCTCGGGCGTGTCGGGCCTCGGAGCGGAGATCGCCAAGAATATCGTGCTGACAGGCGTCAAGTCGTTTACTCTCCACGATACGGCGGATGTTACCCACGTCGACCTCGCCACCCAGTTCTTTGCTACTGAAGGTGACATCGGCGCCAATCGCGCCGAGGTGACAGCGCCGCGGCTTGCGGAGCTCAACCCGTCGGTGGCGGTGACAGCCGACACAAGCCTCGATCTGGCAGCGGGCGATTTGTCGGGCCTTGCGCAGTACAACTGCGTCATCCTGGTTGACGCGCCGCTGGCGGTGCAGACCAGGGTCTCTGCCGCGTGCCACGACGCCGGAGTGGTGTTCATTGCCACCGAGCTCCGCGGCATCGCGTCGTGGGTCTTTGTGGACGCCGGCGAGGCGTTTGAAGTTACCGACCGTGACGGCGAGCCGTGTGCGTCGGTCATGATTTCTGACATCTCCTCGGCCGAGGCTGGCGTTGTCACCGCGCTCGAGAACCGCCACGGCTTGCAGGACGGGCAGACCGTCGTGTTCTCCGAGGTCCGCGGCATGGAGGCGCTCAACGGAACCCGGCACGTGGTCACCGTCCGCGACGCCAAGACCTTTACCATCGGCGACACCCGCGAGCTCGGAACGTACGAGTCGGGCGGCATCGCCAACGAGGTCAAGATTCCGGTGACAGTCTCGTCGCTCCCGCTTGGCGACGCGCTCGCCGCCGAGCACCCTGCCGTCTCGCCGGCTGACTACGGCAAGCTGGACCGGCTAGGCTCGTTTGTGGTCGGCCTCCGCGCGCTGCATGCCTTTGCCGCCGCACACGACGGCGCCATGCCTCAGGTCTGGCACGCCGGCGACGCCGACGAGCTCGTCGCAACTGCCCGCGAGCTTGCCGGTGACGACGCCGAGCTCGACGTCGACTACCTGCGGGCGTTGGCGTACACAGCGCGCGGCGCCCTCTCGCCGCTCTCCGAGTTTATGGGTGGCTTTGTGGCACAGGAAGGCCTCAAGGCGCTCTCGCACAAGTTCACCCCGCTCAACCAGTTCCTCTTTATGGACGCCACCGAGGTTGTCCCGCCGCTCGACGCCGAGCCGGCTCGGTTTGCGCCGGCAGACGACCGGTATGACGGCCTTCGCATCTGCGTCGGCAACGAGCTGGTAGAGAAGCTCGGTGAGAGCCGGCTGTTTATGGTTGGCGCCGGTGCCATTGGGTGCGAGATGCTCAAGAACTTTGCGCTGCTCGGCGTGGGGCGAAGCGGCGAGGGCGCGGTCATTGTCACCGACAACGACGTCATCGAGACGTCGAACCTCTCGCGGCAGTTCCTGTTCCGGGCCAAGGACGTGACCCGGCCCAAGTCCGAGGTGGCGGCCGAGGCTGCGCAGGCCATCAACCCGGCGATGCGGGTCGAGGCGCGGCTGGATCGGGTCGGCAAGGAGAGCGAGGGCACGTACACCGACGAGTTTATCTCATCGCTCTCGGCGTGCGTCAATGCGTTGGACAACGTCGAGGCACGGCTGTACATGGACTCGCGGGCGGTGAACAACGCCCGCCCGCTCCTTGAGTCTGGCACACTCGGAACCAAGGGCCACGTCCAGGTCGTCGTCCCATTCCTGACCGAGTCGTACGCTTCGGCACGCGACCCGCCCGAGAAGGACGTCCCGTTCTGCACCATCAAGTCGTTCCCGTACAAGATCGACCACACCATCCAGTTTGCGCGTGACAAGTTTGCGCAGCTCTTCTACAACTGGCCCGGCGAGGTCAATAAGTTCTTTGCCTACGCCGACGGCCCGCTGGAGGAGCAGCTTGCCGAGCCTGAGGCCATTGCCCACGTCCTCGCCATGATCGATGAGGCGCCCACCACCTGGGCCGAGTGTGTGGCCAAGGGCCGGCTCCTCTTCCAGCAGTTTTTCCACGACTCGATTGCGCAGCTCATCCACTCGTTCCCGCCGGAGCTCAAGCTCAAGGATGGGACGCCGTTCTGGTCGCTGCCGAAGCGGCTGCCGACGCCGGTGGTGTGGGACCCGAGCGAGGAGATGCACGTCAAGTTTGTGGCCCATGCCGCCAGGCTCTGGGCTAACGTGTGGGGCATCCCGGGTGCAGGCCACACTGATCTCGCCGCAGTCGCCGTTGTCGCCGACGCCGTCGACGTCCCGGCCTTTGTGCCCAAGGACAACGTCAAGATCGAGACCGACGAGAAGGCGGCCAAGCCCGTCAACGACGACGAGGCGCCGGTCGATGAGGGCCAGCTCGCGCAGGTCGTCGAGCGGGTCCGCGCCAAGCTCGCCGACGGCGTCACGCTGCAGCTCTCGGTCGAGGAGTTTGAGAAGGACGACGAGTCCAACTCGCACATCGACTTTATCCAGTCCATGGCCAACCTCCGCGCCCGCGCCTACGCCATCGACGAGATCGACGTTCTCGAGGCCCGCCGCATCGCAGGCAAGATCATCCCGGCCATCTCGACAACTACCGCCGCCGTCTCGGGCCTCGCCACCCTCGAGCTGCTCAAAGTCCTCATGGGCGCCGAGCTCGAGGCCTACCGCAACACCTTCCTCAACCTCGCCATCCCCATGGTGGCCCTCTCCGAGCCCGGTGCCGCGCCCAAGATCACCTTTACCGGCGACGTCACGTTCACCCTCTGGGACCGCTGGATCGTCTCCGCCGCCGACGCCCCCACCGTCAACGACTTTATCGCCCACTTTAAGGACAACTACGGCGCGACAGTGACCGGCATCTTTGTGGGCGCCAAGGCTCTCTACATGGCCGCCATGCCCACACACAAGAAGCGGCTTAAGAAGAAGCTCAAGGCTCTTGCCAAGCTTCCCGGCGCTGCCGAGCTCGATCTCATCGTTTCCTTTGTTGACGACGCCGGCAACGAGCTCGAGGGACCGGTCATCAAGTATGTGTTGTGATGTGACTAACCCTTGACGGTACGGTCGTTCGGACACGTTGTCGCCCGTCTCAAAGTGAACAACTCGATGATGCTTGACTTTAAGGTCACCGGCCGACGCTGCGCGACGCCTGCTTGGTCTGCGGCTTGAGTTGGGAGGCGCGCCCGCACGTGATGGCGGCCGACACGTAGACACCCGCCTGAAGGATGCCACGCCCGGCCATGACTCGCGTGGCTTTTCGCTACGACATCATCGACGCCCTCGCCGCCAGCGCCGACGCCGTCAGCTCGCGCCCTCGCCGCCGGCGCCGACACCGTCAGCTCCGCGCCGTCGTGCAAGCGGAAGCGTCCCTCTGCAGCGGCTGCTTGTCATCACCACATTCCCCAACAAGCCGCCGCGCGACGCGACTGCCTCGCCTGCCGAAAGCTTCATGGCAAGCGATCGCGGCCGCGGCGGACCTTTTGCGCCGCGTGCGGCGTCCATCTCTGCATCGCCGACTGTTTTCTGTCTTCATGGCTGTGGCAGCCATGAACACATTGTACTACTCTTTTACAGCAATTCATGGACGTTGCGACGTCTGTGGAGCGTCGCAGAGTGCGGCTTGCGCGATGGACACAACTGACCATTCCGTGCCGTAAAGGGCTAAAGCGTCGGGCGTCACTACGAACCAAGGGCCGACACACCACACAGCCTGGTCCAGCTCACTCCGGTGCTGCTGCAGCTGACAGCACCAGCACCTCCCCACCCCACCCACCACCCACCACAACCACCTCATGCTCGGCCTCCTTAAACCATGCATGCTGGTCCTTGTGGGAGTCAACCTCGTCCTCATGCTTTGGCTCGCCCACGAGTCCATGACCGTTCTCCCGGCGCCACCTGGCGTCCGCGGACTGGTCCCTGCCACCGCCACCACCACGTCGCCCTCCAGCGCCACAGCGGGAACGGCTTCCTCCACAGCTTCCACTCCAAGTGCTTCGACATTGTCCTCGCCGCAAGCCATAGACTCGCACGCCGCTGATGGCTCCGAGCAGTGGTTTAAGGACATAGACGCCAAGGTTGCTGCTCGCGATGCGACCCTCCGCAAGCTCGGAGCCGATCTCACAGCTATCCGCAAGGCCCTCGCCGGCGAATCCGCCAGCGATGGCAGCAAGAGTAGTGACGGTGACGTCGGCAAAGGCGGCGGGCCCGAGCCGTGGCTCGTTGTGGGCATTCCCACCGTCCCGCGCATCGACTCGGCCACCGGCAAGCCGCTCGACTATCTAAGCAAGACCGTGGACGCGCTGGTGACACAGATGAGCTCGCATCCGGCCTCGCTCGAGTACCGACAAGTGGTAGTGGTGGTGATGAATCATGCGCCAAAGGCGGAGCACGTCATGCTCGACGCCGCCAAGGAGCGGGTGGCGTCGGCTCGCCTGAGCCACGCCTTTGTGTTTGTCGACAACGACGGGTCGGTGCCAAACCCAACGCCTGGCGCTACCGACGTGGGATCGCCCAACAAGCCCGGATACAAAGTCCGCCAGCAGACTCGCGACGTGGTGGCACTGCTGCGCGAGGCGGCGCCGCGCGGGCGGTACTTTATGTTTCTGGAGGACGATTTTGAGCTCTGCCCCAACGGCTTTGCCGCCATCGCGTACATGGTCCGCAAGATGGAGGCATACTCGCCTGGCTTTGTCTCGGTCCGGGCCTCGTTTGGCCTCGCCGGCATCGTCATGCCGTCGCCTGACGCCCTCGTCTTTGCCGACTACCTGGAAAAGCACCAGGCGCGGCGGCCGCCGGACCACCTCTGCTCCGAGTGGACCGGGAAGGAGACGCCCGAAGCCGTGGCGTACCTCGGCCAGCGGGTCAACGGCGCCTTTCGCTACAACATCCTCCACCACCTCGGCCGAGTCTCCACCCTCCGCAGCGAGCTCTCGGTTCCGTATCCGGGCTGCTATGAATTTCTCGGTGAGCCGATCCTGTTCAAGGTCGAGGCTTTTGATCCTCGCGCCTGCCCGCGCGACGACGTTTGGCCGTGTCCGCCGACCGGCCCCACCGCGCCGCTCGTCGACTTTCGCGGGGAGATACCGCCAGCAACGCCGCCAAGCTGAGTAGTTGCAGCGATCGTGGTGCTGTGCTATTATGCTCAAAGCGTGAAGCGCTAAAAAAAAGCGCTCACGTCGCAAAACTCTTTACGGGAAAGAATCGCAGCCGATGCAGGCTACAATTAAAAGCCGTTGGTGCCGTACGGGGCAGCGCCGTACGGGGCAGCGCCGTAAGGCGCGGCGCCGTAGCCGGAGCCGTAGGCGGGCGCACCGTAGGTGGCCGGGCCGTACGAGCCGTAGCCCTGCTGCGGGAAGCCCTGCTGCGGGAAGCCCTGCTGCGGGTAGCCCTGCTGCGCCGAAAAGTTGGGGATCGGGTAGCCGGCCTTCTTGGCAGCCTCGAGAGCCTCGGCCTTGGCCTTGCGGAGGTACTCAACCTCGAGGGTGAGGCGGTCGTGCTCGTCCTGGAGAGCGGTGTCCTTGACGCCGACGTAGACCTCCTGGGCAGGACCCTGGCGGCCGACGGGCACCTCAACCTCGACGGGCTCGGGCACGGCGCGGATGACCTGCTGGTGGACAGGGACCGGGACGGGCACGTTCTGGACAACAGTCCGCGGCGGGCCGGGGACCGGGACCGGGACGGCGACGTCCTCGTAGGTCGGCGGGCCGGGCACCGGGATCTTGCGGACAACCTCGCGCGGCGGGCCCTGGACAGCAATGCGCTTGATGACCTCGCGGTCCTTGCCCTTGACCTTGACGCGCTTGATGACCTCGCGCGCGGGGAGCTGGACCTTGACGGTGCGGACAACCTCACGGGCCGGGCCGGGCACGGCGATCTTGCGCACAATCTCGCGCGGCTCGCCCTGGACGCGGACGCGGTTGACCTTGGCCGGGCCCTGGATCTTGACGGTCTTGATGACCTGCTGCGGCGGGCCGCGAACAGTGCGAGTCAGGACCGGGCCGGGCACAAACACGTTGCGGCGGCGACGACGGGTCGGCACGCGAACAACAACGTTCTCGTACTGGACGTTCATCGGGCCGGGCATCGGCGGGCCGTACGAGCTCATCTGCTCAGGGTCGAGCGGCGCGGCCTGCGGCTGCTGCTGCTGCTGCTGGCCGTAGCCGTACGGCGCCGGAGCGAACTGGGGGCAAACTGCTGCTGGGGTACGCCCTGCCCTCGGTTTCGCGCGCACGCCGCATAGCGAGTGAGTCGTTGGTCGCTGCCAAAAATTCGCCGACGGCACCCAAAAACGAGCGTTTGGTCGCTCCCGCCGTTACCGCCTCCTCCCGCATCCGCCATGCCCAAGCCGCAGCACAACGAAGGCAGCCCACTTTAAACTGGCCGTAGTATGTCTACTGTAGGACCACTTTGCCAGGCTGGGGCAAAAGGGGGGAGCGCCACCCGGAGGCGCAGCTCCCGCAGCCACAACCCTAAGCGGCTGGCTTTCTGCCCGCGTGGGGGGTCGCCGCCATCCCCCAGTTTTTAACCAGCTAGAAAACGAGCCCCCGACCTTCCGCACTGCCTCGAACCCTCCATCGAGGTCACCAAGGAGCTGCCGCCTTGCAAGCGCGCGCTTGCAGCGGCTGCAGATAGGTGCCATAGTGTGTACGGAGCGAGCCGCTGTGAGGGTGGCGGGCGAGGCCGGTGGCTTCTGTTGCGCCCTGAAAAACTTTGGGGGGATCAACTGCTGGGCAACGGAACATACATGGTAGTTTTAGAGAGAGGGGGTGGGGAGGGAGATTTCGATCGGAAGTAGAGGTGGTTTGGGGAGGTCGAGGGGGCGGTACTACAAGCGCACCAGAGGCTCTGGCAAGCTATCCGCTGTGATTTGAAACGTTGCCCACAAGAGAAGCGAGCAATCTCAATGAGCACACCGTGCCTTTTTGCTCCCAATGCCAAAGACAGCGCTCATAGCGTTCATCAGGCTCGATACATCGTCACTGTATGGCTGCGTCTAGCCGGTATCCGTCGTTTGGCCACTGGCCACGGGAGGGGTTGGGGGGGGGGGGGAGGGTGGGGGGTGCCAATACAAAAAATTGCATCAGCGCAACGACTTGCGTCATCGTTCGCCAATGTCTCGCCCCGGTGGCGTGATCACGCCACCAGCTGGTCGCATCGAGCACGGCCTCGAGCCTCAGGAGTTGCGTATGATCGCCACACTTCCTCGCAACTCTGCTCTCAGCAGCCCGACACACATCCCCGACTTGCGCAACTTGAACTCGTGCAGTTGGTGTATGAAATGGACGTGCAGCCAGAGGAAGAAGCTTTGTCAAGCCGTGAGCAGAAGAGCAGGCGAGGAACCGGTGCCGCAGATCCTGTCGAGCGAGCTCGTCGCCGGGCGGGCGAGCATATACCGCACGTGCCGCGTCTTTCTGGTGGAAAAGGCCAAAGGCGGCTGGCGAGGAAGAGCATTGCAGACAACGATGGAGAGGCTGTGAAGCAAGTCAGGCAAAACAGGTCGCAGAGGCTGGGATTGTCAGCTACTTTGTCGGCTTCAGTCGTCTCGGATGAGTACGAGGACGAGGGCGAGACCCGCAAGCCAGCATCGGATCCACTCCGGGTCATTGTCGAGCCTGCGACGCTCACGGGGGCATGCTCGACCAGTTCACGCCCGACCTTCGCGACGACGAGAAGCTGCTCTGGCATCTGCGTGGACGCAAGTATCGGCACGAGATCAAGAACACACTACGGCGGGAGAACAAGGTGCCAACGGTGACCTCGGGCATCGCCCGCGGTCTCCGCGGCACACTCCTGGCGCTGGTCGAGAAGCAGCCGCTGGCGTCTCGAAGCCTGCAGCGGCTCGCGGATTTTCTCCCCATCCTCGTCATCCTGGTCGAGTTTGTACAGCTAGTGGCGGTGGCGGCGTCGATCGCTCCCGCAGGCCTCCCGGTCACCGCCAAGCGTGCGGTCTCGCTTGTCACGCTCAACGCAGTTGTCATTGATAGCAGTGTCCTCAGCTTTTGGCTCTTTCTCTCGTATCAGACGCTTGTGGGTGCGGCACTGTTTGGCATATTCGTCATCTTTGGACTCATGTCGGCCGGCCGACCCAGCCCGCCCCTCTGGGCGGTGGTGCTTGTCCGCACGCTTGTCCGCCTCCTCGCTTCGGTCCTCTACATCCCATGCCTCCTTTCGTTTGTCCATCCGTTCTCAGTAGCTTCTGCCACTCTTGCCGAGCGGGTGACCGGCGGCGCCGCGCTGGTGGTTCTCCTTGGCCTCTCGGCACTCATGGTGCTCAACACATACTCTGCCGATCCCGAGTCGTCGGACCCTACCCGCCGCGAGCACACCCGGCTCGACTGCGTTGTCTTTGTCAGCAAGACGCTCATTATTCTCGACGTCGTGTTTGTGGCTTCGGCGGTCGGCTCTCAGATTGCTCTACTGGTCCTTGTCGGATTCGGTCTCGTCCTCACCGCCGCCGTCCATGCTCTTCAGCCGTACCACTGGGCAGTCGTGGACCGACTCCGATCAGCACTCTTTCTCACGTTTACGCTCATAACGCTGGGCCTCTACCTCGCGTCGTGCGTGTGGGAGCTGGAGTCGACCTCGGTGCATTTTAGCCTTCTCGTCTTTGGCCCACTGGTGCCCGGCCTTGTTCTCGGCTACTTGGGACTTCTGCCGCGGACAAAGTCGACGTGGGTCTCGTACCAGCTTGACCGGCTGCTGAGGCCGCTCGAGCTGGGGCATGTCGCCGCCGATGTTTACACCTATCATCTCGAGCGCTTGCTGGTCTCGCCGCAGCGGCTGGGGCTCTACGGCTCGCTCCTCTCGACAGCCATGCGCGACTATGATGCGGCCGACGCTGCCTTTGCGGCTGCACTCGAGCACGGACTCGCTGGCACTCACGTCACCGATGCTGCCGTCTGGGCGTTCAAGTCGGGCATCGAAGCGCCCGAACTCGCGCTCTACTTGGAGATTGCACTCCGCGACGCGCTCACCTCGAATGCTATCGTCCTCACCGTGGGCATTGCCGATGACCTTGTTAGTGAGTTTGAGGCCCACATGATGTTTTTACACCTGCGGCGGCACGTCCGCTCGTGTGGCGGTGTCGTTCTCGCCCACACCGCGGTTCACACCGCCGAGTTGGAGACGCTACTCGACACCTCGCCGGTCTTTCCGCACACGCTGCAGCGGCTGCTGTGGTCGGCTTTCGGCGGTGCCCGGCTGGCCGAGTTTGGCACCCGGGCCCAGCTGGTCGAGGCCCGGCTTCGGGCCCACGCCGCCGTTGTGGGGCTCGGGCGCGATGCGCTGGATGTGCTTGTTGACATTGTCCGTGGCCCCGAGTCTATCGCGAGCAGCAGCGAGCTCGCCGCTGCTGTTCACAATGCGATCAGCTGGCAGTCTCAGATCGAGAGTGCCATGACCGGTAGGGAGAGTCCGAGCGAGTCGACGACGTCGTCGTCGTCGATGGACAGCACGAACACGGCGGCGTATGTTGGTGGTGACAGGGAAAATGACGGGCACGAAATGACGCTGCCTCCAGCACCAGTGAGTGCGGCGCAGCTCTTGCCGCCGCCACCAGGCCGCTCGATGCCGTGCGACGTGGCCGCTGACGCGCTCGCTCAGCTTGTGAGCGCCACGATCTCGTGCGAGTCGTGCGTTGCCGAGACCGGGAACGGTGGCTTTGTGTTTATGATCGAAGGCTACAACGCCATCGACCCGTCGTCGCACTCGACGCTGCGTAAGCTCGTCTCGCGCCATCCAGACCTCCCGCTAGTGATCTGCACCGAGACACTCGCCAATCGCGGCGGCGTTGCGCTCGACGAAAGCGCTCTGCCATGGATCGAGTGGCAGCGCTCGGGCCTCTCGCCGCTCTCCTCGGCCATGCCGTCGGTGAAAGCCTGCGACGGTGTCGACACCATCCGGCTGTTGACGGTGCCGCGCGATGCTGGAAACCGCCGCTTGTCGCGGACACACACTGCCGCCAACGGCATGGCAGCAGCAGCAGCAGCGTTTGACGCATCTGCCGAGCCGAACTTTGCCTTTGACGTCGCGGTCGGTGACTCGCAAACCGAGCCGCTCTGTGCCATTTGCGTGGCGATTGCCTCTATGTTGGACATTGGAGGTGAAGGCTGTCCCCTTGAGGCCAATTCGAGCGGCTCGAACGGAGCGGCCAGCCAAACACCAGCAACTTCGGACATCACCGTGCCACTCTCGGACACGACGTCGGTGCCAGACGGCACCCCGCATGCCCCGCCCAAGTTGAGCAGCGGCTCGACCACGCCGCCTGCTCGCTCGCGTCGGCATCGGACGCGGCGGTCAGTGCCGCTGCAGTTGATGGACTCGCCGCGCCCCCAGGACCGGCGAAACACCGGTCGCAGGCGGACGGTGCGCGACAGACGTGGCGGTGGTGACGCTGTCCGGTCGCGGCCTCGCAGGGCGCGAAAGGTGGCGCCACAGCCGACGGCGGGGAAGGATGCAGCGAGCGCTGAGGGTGGTGACGAAGACACTCGCCATGACACCGAGAGCACGACCATGCACGAGCTTTGTGCCGACTCTCGTCTGCGCCACGCGCCGTCGCCGGCGTGCATCTCGCTGCTCCGGTCGTTGGCTATTGGCGGAAGCGAGAGCACGTCCACGCTGAGTGGGAGTGCCTCGTCGAGCATGTTGGCGCGCGAGAGCTCGCTCGCATCGCTCAATGTGGACCAGGAGCACTACATGGCGTTTATCGAGCTTGCTGCTGTGATTGGCCGAGAGGCGCGACTGGAGCTTCTTCGGCTCGGCTTTGATGCGTGGTGCAAGGCTGCCAGCAGAAGAGAGCCGGCCGAGTTTGACGCGCTCCTTACGTCGGCTGAGAACCAGCAGATCATTGATGTGATTGGCTCGGGTCTGCGGCGGAGGTTTGTGTTTCGGCAAGCAGCTGTGCAGCAAGCAGTGGTGTCGTCAATGTCTGCCGATGCGCGGGCGACGTATGCGTTCCACGCTGCGCGTGCAATGGCAGACGCGAGTGACAAGGAGCTCTCGCAGCCGCTGGCATATCTGGGCTACGCACGCATGGCGTGGGACGTTGATCTCCTCATCCAAGCGCACTTGAAGCTGCTGGATGTGCCGGCGACCCAGTTTGTGGACAACGTGCGCGAACTGCTGATGCTCATCGATAGGGGCGACCGCATGGCCGACCAGGCGCGGCTGGTTGGGGGTGGGGAAGCGAGTGTTTCGCTCGACGACGTCGAGGCCGGGCGCGCAGGCTCACGCTCGATTCTTACGCCGTATCTAGCGCGCGTGCGGCTCACGCTGATGCACAAGTTTGGGCCGATGGTGCCCTCGTACACGGAGAGGGCTGGGCTACAGCCGGATGAGCGCGTGCTCGAGGTGGCGTGTATGGCGCGGCGAAAGGCGGTCGAGGCGTACCTCCGGGCGCTCCTGGCCGATGAGTCTGAGAGCCTGTTTGTGAAAGGAGGAGATGCTGAGCATGCCGACGATGTGCTCGCGGTCCTCGCACAGTTTCAGGCGACGCCGGAAGCAACAGTATCGCAGTATGCGCTCGAAGCCGAGGTAGCCCTCTCGGCCAACGACCTTGTGCGGGCGAAGGGCGCGGTGGCGGACGGTCTGGTGTACGCACACCACGCCAAGGTCTCGTCGGTTGACAGGGGCGTGCAAGGGCTCACGGCGAGTGCCGGATGGGTCCTGCGGCGTGCGTCCCAGTTCCGACGGGCACTGCAGTGGCACAAGGTGGCGCTGCGGCATGCGCGGCGCGGCGCAAACCGGTCAGGTGAGGCGGCGGCGCTGTGGGGTCTCGGGCTCGCCGAGCGCGATAACGGAAAGCTCAAGGTGGCCGAGTCGCACCTTGCGCAGGCGCGCGACCTGGCCAACTGGCTCTCCAACGTTAGGTGGGCGGCGGAGATCGAGCATGCGCTGGTGGTGACTCACCTCCGGCGGGGAGGATGGGAGCTCGCGCGCGAGCAGTGCCTCCAGATCTTCAACAAGCGACTGTCGGAGAAGGCTGTAGATCTTGCACTTGTGACGCTTGCGCAGCTCGCGCTGCTCCAGCACGACGACGAGCTGTTTGCCTCGGCGGTGGCGACGATTCTGGCAGAGACCTCGAACCGCAACACGCTGGGCGATGCGTTCCTACTGACAGCCATGCATGCGTTCCGCGACGCGCTGGAAAATCAGCCAGGCTGCCTGCCAGCTGGCGTGCCGCCAACGCAAAACGCGCTCCATGCCGCAGCTCGCGGGTATGGAGACCGGCTGACGGCGGCGACGCGGGCGCGAGCCATGCTGTCGGACATGCAAGCGGTCTCGCGCGAGAACGCGCGGCTGGGGCGGCACCGACAGTCGCCAGCGACGCGGTCGGCGATGCTAGCAGTGACAATGGTGGCGGCAGACGTCATCCTGTCGAGCGACGAGGTTGAGGCGACGCCGACGCCCGGGGGACACTCGCTCGTCAAGGCGCAGTACTCACTGTCATCGCTCTCGGAGCTCGACGTCGGCTCGGTGAAAGAGCTGATCAAGCTGCGGAGCGATGCGGGGAGCACAGGCGCGCGGCGTAATGAGCCTGTGCGGCGGTGGACCATCGGCGAGTACATGAAGCTCGTGGCCGACATCCGACGCGAGCTTGTGGGCTCGCGGAGGTACAAGCTCAAAGAGTACGTCGACGTCTTTGTCGGGCGCGAGTTTGTGGCTTGGATGGTGGAGAGTGGGCGCTCACCGAATCGCAAGGACGCGCTGACGCAGGGCCGAAACATGGTTGCGTACGGGCTGGTGGCGCACGTGTACGAGGACCACGACATGGAGGACAAGCGCTTCTTCTACCGGATCCGGGTGTGACGGGCAAGTGCAATACAGATTCACGGGTTTGGAATGGCGGGAGTGGAGGCAGGAGCGAGGGCGTCCGAGGTGGGTGGCGGGGCGCTCGGAGTGTGGTGATGGCCGTCGCGATGGTGGTGGTGGTGGTGGTGGTGGTGGTGTTGCGGGGTTGCGACGTCATTGTCGAGATCGTCAAAGTAGTCGATGCCCGAGGAGGACGAGTAGGTGTAGGCCGAAAACGACGAGTCGAGCGAGGAGGAGTGGCCGCGGGCCGAATCCGAGGCCGGCATGGTGATGTCGACCTGGGAAATCTGGATGGAAGTGACACGACGGCCGGCTGTGTCGACCGGGTTCCGGGCGGCTGTGGAATCGGGGGAGGCCGTGGTCGCAAAGGCCTGGACGTCGGCCGAGGGGGAGTAGAGTGGGTTGGCGAGCGTCGGCGGGGCTTGGTGCCTGCGGACAGGCGGGCCAGAGCGACGCGAGGCGGTTCGCATGTGCTGGTCGCGGATGTGCTCGTGGATGGCCTTGAAGAGGGCGGTGGAGATAAAGAGACCCTGCGGAGTGTGGAAGACATAGGTCTCGTCGGAGACGGCCGGCTCTGGCTCGTCAGGCTCGGCGGTGTCGTAGGCAGGAGCGGTGGCGGCGGCGGCGGCGGCGAGGCCGTTGGGGCAGCGGCGACGGACGATGGCTGGCGCGGGATGAGGCGGGCATTGCCGAGGATGGCATGAGAGCCGGAGCGGAGGAGGCGGGCCTCCTCCGCCTTGAGGATAGTGACAAGCCACTTTGTGTGCGAGTGCTCTCCGCCCCAGTGGCGGAGCTCCTTAAAGTGGTACTTTGCGATGCGGGTGCGCGAGGTGTGGTCGACAAAGTATATGCGGGACGGCGAGATGCAGATCATAATGCGGTGCGGAAGGAGGCCGTGGAGCGAGGTCTCGACCTTTGAGGGCATAAAGTACATGGCGCCGTAGTACTCGGAGCGGCGGATGGTGGTGAGGAAGGCGAGGGTGGCGAGGCCTGTGGAGCGCGGCGGCTCGAGCTGGAGCTGGGCGAGGATGAGGCGCTCCCACTCGTCAGCGGAGCGGCGGGTGAGCGGGGTGTCTGCGGCGCCTGGCTTGCTCTTAGGGCTACGAGCAGCGCCGGCATGCGGGATGTTGAGGACCGTGGCCGCGGCCGAGGCCGAGGTCTCGACGGCGTCAACAACAAGAAAGGCCGGGACGTAGTCGGTGAGGATATGGGTGCGGTTGAGGAAGCCGATGCGGTGGACATGCGGGTCGAACGAGCCAAAGGCGGCTTGGAGAGCGAGGGCCGAAAGGCGGATGGCCTCTTCGTCAGAGCGGATCGGCATGTAGTGGAGATAGGCGTGGCGGGCCTCGTAAAGAAGAGGCGGAGAGCAACAGGGTCGTCAAGCTCTTTCTCGGCCCAGCGTGAGAAGGACCAACGGCGGAAGACAAGGCGCGAGTGCTTGATGGCGTGTTTGTGCTTGGCGGCGAGCATGTGCGACTCGTACTTGTCGAAGCGCTGGACGGTGTGCAAGACAAGCGAGGCCTCGTGCTTCTTGGCCGACTCTAGATGCTCACCCTGCTGGGTGATGTGCGAGCGGGGCTTGCGGTCGTAGCCACCGATGGAGGGGAAGATGTCAAAGAGGCGGGCACCAGCCCGAGTGAGGCCCAGCTTGTCCGCCATGGCCCCGGTCAGCTGTTCAAAGGTAGTCGTCGGAGTCAGAGGCAGCACTCTGTACGATCCGTCCATCAGATACACCTCGACCGTCTGCGAAGAAGATAGGTTAGTTACAAGGAAGAGAGGGGCGGAACAAGGGGGGGGGGGGGGGGGGGGTGCTCCGTCCGGTGTAGTGGGATGATGTTGATGTAAAGGTACAGATCGAGTGCTGCTACTACTGTTGTGTGGTCGTGGTGCCAGTCCTGGTGCCAGTCCTGGTGCCAGTCCTGGTGCTGGCTCATGACCTGGTTCTGCTGCACATCGTCTGCTCATGTATCTGATCATTTCCTCTTCACCACTCCCCACCACCTTCCCCATCTTTGTTATCATGGTCTTTGTCTGCCCCCCGTCCACCCCGGTCGCCCCCCCCCCCCCCCCGCCCTCCCGCTCTCCCCCCTAGCCCACTCTGCCCTGCCCCTGCCCCTGCCCCCTGCCCCTCCCCCTCCGCAACCCCCTTGCCCTCCGCGTGCTCTCCCTCGTCTTCCTCGCCCTGCTCACGTACTCGGTGCGACATGGTGGGCAAGTACAGGTCCCAGACACACACACACGCTCCTGCAGTGGGGTACGTGGAGTGCGGTGCGGTGCGGTTGAGTGGCCGCTGCGAGTCCCCCCCCCCCCCCCCCCCCCCTCTACCTTTACCTCCTCCTCCTCATCTGGACGGGTTTTGAGATGGGAGGGAAGGATAGGGATGGGTGGGTGGAGATACGATCCCCATATCGATGAGCAGGGTATGGAGAGAGGCAGATGCAAGGGGGGGAGGGGGGATGGCTTGGATTGTGGGCGAGGTCCAGCTCAAGGTGGTTTTGGATATGAGCAGCCACGGGTCTGTAGTGTGTGGGGATGAGAATGAAGGTGAGGTGAGAGAGACTGATCAGAGTATATTGGGCGGTAGTTGTTTGTGTTAACAACACGTTGTAACAACTGACATGGTCGTACGGGGGCTGCAACACACGCATGCGGTGTTTGACTCTATGGACCGATCTCGGCATGAGACAGGATCTGTCGATCTTTCGCTTTGCTTGTACTCCTGCACGCGATACACACACATGCACACACTTACACATCGCGCAGGCATGCTCCCCTGTAGCCACACCCACACAATCTCTACAATCTACACAATGGTGGACAACATACAGGCCAGCTTTGTTCTGTCATTCCAGAGATGACCCGTCTACAATCTGCTTCAAGATGTAGCGCGGGTCAGAATCGCTGACCACCTCGCGCGAGGACTGTGAGCAGCCTTCTCAAGTGCACATTGCTGATGCAGGTTGAACTATGGTGGATTGCAAAGGTACCTCACGTGATTGCGTGCTGTCATTATTGTGCCTCCGCGGTATCTCCTGAGTACATTGCCGATTACAAGGACGTTGTTATGAGCGGTGGTTTCATCTTCCGGGACCGGGATAGGAGCCGGGAGTGCCAGACGACGCCTCACATTTTCCCGAGTCTACGAGAAAGTAGGCATCAGAGGATGATCTACTTGGGGCAATGGGCAAGACTGCAGGCCGTTGGCTTGTGCTTACATCGTATGCCGTGTGCGTGTTGCAGGTGGTCAGGCTATTGCCACAAGAAATGCCATTTTTTTTTCCCCGGCGGCACGGCACGTAGCGCCACCACCGATGCAAGCAGACGAACTGGTGAGCCCTCGTCCTCGAGCCAAGTTGAGAGCCACCAGGCCACCACTCGGCTCGTCGACCTCTTTGCCATGATTCGGTCCATCAAGCGCAAGACCATCCGTCAGCTCGGGGGCTCACACCATGCCCTTCAAATTGCTATCCAGGAGGAGCGGGTATGTTGTGGGGGGAAAGGGGTGCCGGGAGGGGGGGAAGGGGGGGGGGGGAGGGGAGGGTGCGCCAGGTGGGAGTGCGGCGTTTTTCTTGGCGCTGGAGTTTTGGCTGGAAGGGGGGGGAGGGAGGGGGGAAAGAGGAAGGGGAAGGGACTTATGAATAGGTGTGTATGTATGTCTGTGTGTGTATTTGCGTGTGTATGTGTGTGTGTGTATGTATGTATGTGTGTGTGTGTGTGTGTGTTTGTGTGTGTGTGTGTGCTTGGGGGTGTGCGTGTGCGGGTCATGCATGGGGACAGAACACGGCAAAGGCTGAGGAGAAGCTGATCAAGCAGTGGGGTGCGATGAACAAGTATGTGTGGACTTGGGCAGAGACGCAGACGCCCGAGCTGGAGGATATCATGCGGCGGGTGATCGAGCTGGAAGATGCGGTGGTGGACAAGCTGGAGAATATGAAGAAGCGGAGGGAGGGTCTGACTCAGATGCTGCTTGACATCCTGGAGCAGGAGAAGGTGTACGATGACGTGTGCAAGGAGCACCAGAGCGCGATCTCGACGACGGAGAAGGCGCGCAAGAAGCTGACCAAGGCGCAGAAGAAGGGCGTGGCTGTGCCTGAGGCGCAGGACGAGGTGCGGACTGCTGAGGCTGCGCAGTCGCGGGCCAGCAAGGACGAGGACGACAAGCAGGTCGAGGTCAAGAAGTTCAAGAACGCCCGCCTCAAGACTGGGTACGCGGTGTACTGCAAGCAGATGGCCAAGCTCATGCACGAGGCTGCGCAGCTGTTTGAGGACCAGCGCGAGATCATCGCCACCATCCCGGACGTGCAAGGCTGCAAGAACGGCGAGTGGATTCTCGGCGACCCGGTCCCGTCGTTTGTCTTTGGCAAGTCGCTGGCCTCGATCTACGACCGCGAGCACTGCGAGATCCCGTACGTCCTTCGCTCGATTGTCTCGTACCTCGACGCCAAGGAGGCCCATCTAATGGAGGGCATCTTCCGGCTGTCGGGTGCCACCTCGGAGGTCGACAAGCTCCACGAGCTCTTTGACCGCGGTGAGGAGTTTGAGCTTGCCGACGAGTGCACGGACGAGTACGCCGCTGCCGCCCTAATCAAGGCATGGCTCCGCGAGCTCCCCGAGTCTCTTATCCCGTCGTCGGCCTACCCTTCGTTCATGGCTGCCCTCGAGAAGACGACTGAGGATGAGAGTGTTGAGGTTCTCCGAGCCTGCGTTGCTGATCTCGCACCACAGCGCCGCGCCGTTCTTGCCTTTCTCCTCAGGTACTTTCACCGCGTCGCCAAGTCGTTCAAGAGCAACAAGATGTCGGCCAACAACCTCGCCATTGTCCTTGGCCCCAACATCCTGCGCCTCCCCGACCTCTCGCCATACGAGGAGATGGTCGCAGGGCAGAATGTCAACGATGTCACTGCTCTCCTCATCAAGCGTGCCGATGTGATTCTTGGGGAGGACCTCGGCGGCGACTCTTCAGCTGGGACCAAGGCCGAGGCCGAGGCAGCTGCAGCAGCGCAGGCCGAGGCCGAGGCAGCTGCAGCAGCGCAGGCACAGGCTCAGACCGAGGCAGCTGCTGCAGCGCAGGCACAGGCTCAGGCCGAGGCAGCTGCAGCAGCGCAGGCACAGGCTCAGGCCGAGGCAGCTGCCGCGGCACAGGCACAGGCCGAGGCCGAGGCCGACGGCAG